AAAAAAAAAAGCACTTATAGAAAAAGGACGCACAAAAAAGTTTGTAGTCCTTGCCTTATTGCCGAAAATAGAGAGAATTAGGTTAAACGAAGACGCCACAAACGGAAAGAAGAAGGGCTAGAGAACCTGCTGCTCACCCACAATACATACTTTTAAAAGCTGTTGTTTTTATAGTACAGCAGATTCATGAGATGATGAGAGAGATTTTTTTGTTTGTTTGTTTGTTTGTTTTTTAAACAACCTAAGTCCGTCGAGTGCCACCTCCCGTTCCGTTGCGTTCTCGGTGATGATGTGGTGCTCAAAGCCTGATGAGGTCACCCAAAGGTGGGACCGCTCAGAAACTTCGCCCCGTCTTGCCCGGACATCCAGAGAGACTCTGCGGGGAGAAGGGAGAGGGAGGAGAGGGCCAGGTAAGGACGGGGGGTGTCAAGTGGGATATTTTTTTAACAAAAAGAAAATAAATAATCCCGAGTGTTTGCAAAGGAAGCGGGCTCTGATCACAGCCGGGGTGAGTGTGGAGCCCACCAGCTGAAACGCAGAGCCCACCCCACGGTGGTGGCCCGTCCTGGCCACCCTGGGTGAGTGGATTGAGGGGGGTTTAGTGCCTGAACTGCCCTCGCTGCCCTCTCCGGCCCCGGGCGCTCGGCCAGGATCTGCTCTGCTCTGCTTTGAGGAGAAAAACTGCTCCTTGGGCATCCGTTAACACCAGGAATTTACAAGGCTTCACTAAAATGAGGTTTTTTTTTTCCTCCGGCCCCTCTGTGCTGCTCTGCTTGGAGGAGAAACGCTGCTCCTTGGGCATCCGTTAACACCAGGAATTTACAAGGCTTCACTAAAATGAGGTTTTTTTTTTTTATAAAGGCACGGCTAAAGTACTTGAAAGGGAACAACTTTCCCACTGCAGTGGCTATGATTTATTTTATAATGGAGACTCCAGCTTCTAACGCCCTGCTCCTGCCGCTGCTCGATGGAAATAAAAACGAGGGGACCAGCTCTGTGGGGGCTGCCTGCGGTGAGGAACGCACGCCTTGGTGGGGGTGACCCCCAAAAGCCGTCCCCCAACCAAACCAGGTGCCACCAGCGGGTCTGTGGGACTGGCCGGTGCCTTTCCCAGGGACCTGCAGCTCATCCCAGTTCCTCCTGCCCTGGGACTGGGAGCGTCGGGATGCGCCGCCACGATGAAAACTTCCAACTCGGCGGCCCTCGAGGAATTAATAGTAAGGCTCATTTCCTCCCCTGAAAATCTATTTTAATTAGTAATGAGCAACGTTAAAAGCACTGTCTGTTTTTAAGTCATTAAGGGCTGGAGTCTTAACACTGGCCGGTAAATGAGGGTTAGTTTGATGTGCTGGGGTAGGTGTGACACGATGCCAAGGCACTAATTGGAGGAAGGCTGCCTTCATCCCAGCACCACCAGCCCCAGCCACGACGTTCCGCTCAGGGCTCAGCTGGCACCGGGATCCACCCGGGTATTACACAGCCTGACAGCCTGGGGAATGCCAGGGATCCGGGCAAATTCATCTGATATTGCCAAATAATAACTGGGATTAAAGCCACAGCGCTTGTGCCCCCCCCTTTTTTTTTTCCTTTCCCATAAAAAATACTACTTGGTGGAGCAAATCAATTGAGGGAGCAATTTCAGGTAATCTCGGCTGTACGGGGGTAGATGAAGAATAAATAGAAAACTACTAGTATTTAGGTATATTATCCTAGATATTAGGTATATTATACAGTTAGGTATATTATGCACTAGCATTTAGGTATAAATCTATTTTTATATAATTTAAAGCCTCCAAATGTTTTCCACAGTTCCCAGCCCCTTGACTAACTGTAGTTCTAATTTCCTACACTGATTTTTGAAGGTGAAACACGTGCCATGGATCAGGCAGCGCCGGGCAGAAGGCAGAGGAATAAAATCTGTCACATCCATTCCGTTTGTCCGTCCGGACTAAGAGCTCTAGAGGCAAACCTGTGCCTTTTAATGGGGGCAACTTCTGTTTTTCATTGACTGACTTTTCTAATCTACTCTGTTCTCGGTGCAGGAATATTTGTTTGCAAAGATGAATATGCCAAAGGCCAAAAAAAAAAATTAAAAGAAAAAAAATTTTAAACATTTAATTAACTTGAGCTTAGTTCAAAGGGTAGGAAACTGGCAGCGATCCAAGGGTGCATTACTCAGGTAATGTCTTTAATTTAATTTGCTTAGGTTTAATTTTTTTTTAATCTTGATAATTGCTCTATGGTTACTAGTTACAATGTTATCTTTTAGCTGTAATATTTGGTATAGCACTTAATTAAGAATGATGGTTTCTCTGTAAGAAAGCGGGGGAGGGGGCTGGTCTATTTTTAGACCATTGGTAGCAGATCCCTAATCCCCATCCACACGCTCCCAGCCGGCACTCGGTCATTTCCCCCCAGGTTTCTGGGGTGGCTGGTTTTACCAGGGGTTTTTTTGCTCTCCAAATTATTGTGCTAAAGTGTTGTGAATATAAAAAACGTGACTTTTTTGGGGTTTTCGCTCCCGATCTGTCTTCCAGTTTCCGACCCGTGAGATTGATTGGAACAACGTAAATCACAGAAAGGAATGATTAAAGGCCAAGGAAAGACGAAATGAAGGAAAAAAAATTGTTCACTTAAAGTAAATATAGGGGAGATGGTAGTTTAGCACAAAGTACAAATGGTATATACTGTAATACCTCCAAGTGAGATGGCAACCAACCATGTAACGTTTCAATGGTATCCATTTGTAAAAGCCGTTGCAATCAAAGGTCCCTAAAATTGTACAATTGTTAAGTTCATCAGTGCTCTATACATGGGAACAGAGGATTATTAATTTTGGCAAGAAATTATCAAAGGACTTGAAAGACTGTGTTGCCAGCATGAATAGGTATTTCTGAGAGCTGTTCTGGTCACCGGTGACCTGCTGTGCCGGACCCTGCCGTCACCTTTCCAAGACCATAATCTTCTCATTCCCCCAGTTGCAAAAATAAGCTTGGGGTTGTCCCTTTTCTTTATCTTTAAACCAGGGTTAGTAAATGGAGAGTGTTAAGTAAATATATACGTAAAAAAAAAAAAAAAAAGCTATGGGATTCTTTGCAGTTATTGGGGGAAATTAAGAGGCTGCCAATCTGCAAGTCAAATATAAAATCATTCTTTGGAGAAGCGTTAGTGCAGACAAATCCAGAGCCCCAGGCCTGGACCTCGTGCCCTGTTACTTGAAAAAATAAGGATATCGCTGAGGCCGAGGTGCCTGGGTTTTCAGGAACAAACAGGTCTTTTTCTTTAGGTGAAAAATGGAAAATAAGAGGTGTTGTAAGTGTTGAGAGATGGCGGTTTAAATTGATGTAGCTCTTAGAGCAATAATATTTCACGTTTGGTACTAGAATTGATCCGAAGGGATTGTCAAGTCCCTGGTGAGACCACGGGAGCGACAGGAGCGGGACGGGAATTGAGCACAAGGGCACAAACGGGGGCAGTTGGGCTTTTTGGGGACCGGTTGCTTATGCGATAAAAATAACCCAATTCCAGGAACTTTGTCTGCACTACGCTCCTGCTCCCCCCACTCATCCCATCCAGTCAGAGAGTGAAATTCTCCGCTGGGTTTGAGGGGTCTCAGGGGAGCCCTCGGCCACATTTATCGTAGGAGAGGGAAAAAAAAATATAATAATCATCTCATCCTTTGACTACAAAAAGGGAAAACTACTTCAGTCGCGTTTTTTCTGCTTGGGAGACTGACAGCCACCGAGGAGGCCCAACCACATTCATGCTAACACACACAGGTAGGACAGCATCATCCCCAAACCAGCATGCAGCTTTGTTAAGCAAATCTCCATCGCCCATCATTAGTGAGACTGCAGACCCGCGCCGCGTTAACGAGGTGCGTTTCCGGTGACCTGACAACGGAACGGAAGCGACTCGCTGGTAACCTGCGGATTTTAAGGAATTCTAGAGATGCCGTGATGGGCTGGAAGGGACCCAGGAGGTCAGTAGATGCCAGTGTCCACCCCGCTCTGCAGGGATGCTGAGGCTGGAGGGATGGGAGGTGGGGACTGCCCCATGGGGGGATGGCTGTCACCTCCATGGGGTGGCTGTGGGCAGCTCTAGGGTCCCACCGGCCAAATTAATGAGCTGCTTTTTGCTTGTTGAGGTGGGAGCAGGGACTGGTGTGTTGTCTGGAAATGGGCACATCAACCGGGATGCGCGGTTGGGCTGATACAGAGCCCATATTGATGAGGAGAAACCTTAAATTACGAAATTTAAAGAAATTATGAAATATTTCCTTTTGGAAATGTGTCAAATCTGGATGGCAGAAGGCATCAGACGAGCATTTCCAGCCGAGTTGGGAATGGGATCCCAGGGGCAGCTCCGGGGGGTTGGGCACATCTCTAAGCAGGTTGGCAGCAAGGCGCCGCGCTCGCCGTCAGGTCATAATTAACCAAAAAAAAACCCAACGCAACCCCCCCATCCCTCCCCATGTCATTAAAGAATGAAACCTCCCCCTCATTCCCCAACCCCATCCTTGACCAAGGCGCGGTGGCCGGTACTTACGGCGATGCCGTGGCCGAAGCCGGAGCCCGGCTGCGGGCTGGCGGCGCTTATGTAGTTACCCACGCCGGAGTCCTGGCTGGCCGTGCCGTAGAGATCCGCGACGGGCCCTGGGCTGTTGGCCCCGGGGAAGCCTCCGGGTCGGGCTGGGTTGGAGCCTGCCGGGGAAGCGGGTGCGCCAAAATTCGGTTGAGCACTGTAGCTATTCAAGACTGGTGTGCAGAGAATAAAGCTGGGTATGAGGCCAGACGCCGGGCATGCACCGTTATTTACAAAGCCAAACACCAGAATAAACAGCCTAGGCCCAACTTCTAACACTTAACCAAGGCCATGCGATAGGAGAGCAAGTACTGGATAAGAGTCAGCCCGTACTACTACGAAGCTTAGAGCTCCAAAAATATATATATGGATATATATAAAAAAAAAAGAACAATCATTCAACACACTACTGCAACCAGAGACTGGAGGTGCTCATTTTCACCAAATTATCACAAAATATAATAGATATTTTTCAACATCTGACTTGATGCTCATGCAGTAGTAACAAGTTCTCTAGGTCTGGGCACGCCGAGACAGCATTCACATCCCATGCAAACTACAAAGGAACTAGTTTGAGACTACACATTGTGGTAATATTGATATTAAAATGTTGACAGCAAATAACTTCAATCGCGTCTAGGAAAATCATTTTTGGATCCATTCGATACTTTTGAAAAAAACCCGCCCTTTTAAATCAGTAAGCTGTAGAAATAGATCAATAGTTGATTTTTTTTTTCTTTAAATGGTATGGAATGGAACAGTTTGGATTTTTTTTTTTTTTAATATGACCAAGGAGAGTGTTGGTTTACTTAATTTTTTTCCTTTTGATTTGGAGAGCGAAGACCTACCTTCGTCTCCAAAACCATGCTGGGGACATCAACCAAAATTAAACAAATAAATAAAGATCAAAAGCAAAAAAGAATTCCAGAGGGTGTATGACAACTCACCTCCTAATGTGGAAGTAAAAGAAAATTTTATTTTTTTCCTCCCTTTATTTTTTTTTTTTTGAGACAGAAAAACAATGTAAATAAGAATGATACTAAAGAATAAATTTAGATATTAAAGCATGTTAGATGATCAGGCTTCTGGCATTTCTCGCGGTTGCTCTTGGATGTAAAATTTATGAGTAAGAAGTTTCAATGCAAAAGAAAAGTTAGTGGACTAAGGAGGAGCTGGATGGAAATGGCTTGCGGGAAGCTGGAGCTACGCCTGAGTGGAAGTGGCAGGTCCTTCAGAGCAGAGGGAGACCCTCCTGCCCGCACCCACTAGAGCCTCACCGCGTCCCCCCGCACGCAGGCACCAGACACACACGGCAAACGGCCGGCCTCCCGGTCACCGGGGCTGCTGACCGGGGAGGGGACAAGTCCCATGGTGGTGACAAACACCACAGCCACCCCGGGAGCCCCGGGTACCACCAGGCACCCGAGGGGCGGCAGAAGCCATCACCTCCACCTTCCAGGCTGCGCCAAGATTTCTTCAGCCTTCTCCTCTGAACTGCCACTTCCCGTGTTATCCTCATTAAGCACTAAAAAAAGGGTTTATAAAGTTTGAGAGCCTGCTGTAGCCCTTGGCCACCAGCCATGCTGACCGACCGCAGGGATGGAGACCAGCTCTGGAGAAAGCCCTCACCGAGGGAAGGCTTTGGCAGCACCTTAGGTGGGCCGTGGTGGGCTCAGCCTGGGCTTCCTGCTGGGCCACCACCCCTCCTGCCCCGGCCCCTTCCCCCTGCACCGAGAGGTCCCCCCTCCGTTTTCTAAATGAATGAATGAACTGGTCAAATAAAAGTCAACCCCGGCAGCTGTTGGCTCTGCAATGACAGGAAAGTAAATTTTACAAAATAAACGATTTAATGCGGCTCTGAACTGGTAGCAGGGGAAAGTAAGTAGGACATCTAAGCTAGCAAGTTAAAAGAAATAAGGCATGAGAGAGTAAACAGATTTTGGAATTCACTGGCAAACAAAGCGCCTTTTTTATTATTAAAGATTAAATGTCAAGATAACATTTGGCCTTCTCACTCATGAAGAAAAATATCCAGCTGAGATGTTCAAAAGCCCTTTATTACTATAAGCTAGCACTTTTTTTTCCCCTTTTCTTCCTTCTGGTTCAATAAAATGGATACGAGTTTTACTGCCAAGTCACACAGAAAACCCAGTTGGCCGCTCAGAGCAAAGGCAAAGGGATGGGGCAAGGCAAGGGGGGAGCCTGGGGGTAAAATACCCCTGTAACCCCTGGTGGCGGGGCCAGGGGACACTGGGAGGACTGGCCTCGGCCCCAGGCAACTGCCCAGTGATGCCCAGAGCCACCCGTGGCCATGGCCACTGCCGGGAGGAGCAGCACATGCCATGGGCTGATGGGCTGTGGCTAAGAGGACAGACAGACATCCACCATGGCATCCAGTTCTGTGTCACTAACCTGCACATGCCGTGGCTCAGAGGACAGACAGACATCCACCATGGCATCCAGTTCTGTGTCACTAACCTCCAACACGGAACCGTGCACGGGTGACAAGGGGACATGCTTTGCCGTGCCCTGAAACCTCACAAAGAGAACAGCAGAAGGAGACCGAGGAGAGAGGCTCTGTCCCCCCCGAGACATCCCACCCTGGCCACTGTCACATCTCCAAGAGGACTGGAAACACCAGCTTTCACACATGCAGAAAGAGCTGGCAACTGGTTATTCAAAATTCCTTCTGATCGTGGGTACCAAATGTAAGAAAAAGGTAATTTTCTACACACTGAGCATCAGTTGAACACCCCACACTGCTCACGGGGTAAGGAACCCACCACCTCCCCCAGAAGCCCACCCACCACTCTGCAGAGGGGGCAGAGAGCTCTGGGAGCTCTCACAGAGCTGACACTTTGCTCCAGACCCAATAAATGAAGCAGAAAAGCTCTGTTCAGCTTTTCTGTTTCAACAGAAACGAGCACTCCTCAGAAAGCTGTATTTTAACAATTCGCTCAGCCATGGTGAGTTGCTAAATATTTGTCTTCCTACAATAGCTGCACATCAGCTCACCTGGAGCCAGAGGCACTGCTTTGAAACAGCAGCAAAGGGACCTTGAATGACTTTCCCAACATGCAAAATGTGATGCCTTCTGGTAAGAACTACCTAGAAAAAAATTTGTTTTACACAAACCTGGAATAATCTGTGACTAAAATGAAGAAGAAACCTACCCCCACAAAATCCTCCAGATATTGTTTCAGTCCTCCAAGAAATTTTAACACTCTTTGGGAGACGTATCTTTATGACAAGGTTCCTGATGTTGGCTCAGTTGCCGGAGGCAGAAGCTGCCCAAGAGCCATGGCTGCTGTGAGCTGTGGGAATCACAGAGCATTAAGATGGATGCCCTGCAGGCTGGAAGGAATCTGAGACTTTCCCCCGGCCACCGACACCCTCTTGTCAGAAGGGGAAATAATTAAGGGCAGGAGTTTGGAAGAACATTGCTGAAAAACCATCAGGGGCTGTCCCAGGAGAGGGGAGGGAACCACTGACCACGTCTTGATGCCAGTCAGTGGGGACCAGGAGCAAAGCCCAACCTGTTGCCTGGTCCCACCAGAGGTACTGACCGAGCTGACCAAAGATCTCCTGACTTTGGTTTTCTGGGAGCACCCATCAGACTGATTGAACATTGCCTGAGGGTTGGGAGGACCATCTCCTCCATCTCCCCTTCCAAAGCCTGCCAGGACCCAGGAAGTCCTGGTAGTCAAAGTGCCCATTTTCAAAGTGCCCTGAAAGGTTCAGGTCCAATTTACCAACCAACTGCCCAGGAAACCATCCTGCACCAGATGTTCTCACAGCTCTGAGACTGTGCCCAAGTGCCTCCAACTCAAGGGTTTCCCTGGCACATAATTAACACCAGGAAGCCCTGTGATAGTTCAAGGTCAGGAGAGGTAAGGAAGATTAGATGTGTCTGTAAGAGTCACAACTAACCACCTTTCTTCTTCTTCAGTCCCACAACAACCCTCTGGGTTACAGAAGCTCCTTTCCATGCCTATGGAGATCAGGAGACGGGAGCCAAGAGATGCTGGAAGGAAGTTTACTGTCTTGCTTGCTTCACTTCACTTGAATGTGCTGTGTTTTTTCTTATGGAAAAGGCTGTGAGCCAGTGAATTTTGATCAGTAAGTGAACGTTTGCCAGCAGCCCAGAGGGACAGCCTTTGGGGAGCCTGAGGCTCTACCCTGGGGAGCACTGAAAAGCAGTGAGGAAAAGTGAGACGGGGAGGAGATGTTGAACCAAATGTGGGTTGATAAAGCAGCCCCAGAACAGGCTTTTTTAAAATGCAAAGTGTTGGCGATGGTGGAGCTGGGATCTGCTGAGTATGGCTGGGACAGCAAGAGATGGACCTTGTGGGTGGCTGGGAGAGCCATAACAAACATCAGTACTGTCTCCACCTTCCAGAGGCGATGGGAAGAGACAGGGAAGGGCCCTTGCTGACTGGGCTGGGAACAGATAAAAGGCCTTTAGACTCGGTGCCTTGCCACAAACTACTGCCAGGGTTTACTATTTACAGCAGCCAGGTTTTGCTGTGGCAAAAGCCAGGGTTTGCTGTGTTTGATGCAACCATGCACGGTCACTGCACCCTCCCCTCTGCCCAAGCTGCACCCTCCTCAACAGAGAATCCACTGAAAGCCTTTCTGCTGAAAGAAATACGAATCTGGAGAGGATTTTAAAATGCATCCCTAACCCCAAGACAGTGCTTCAAGGAGCCAGGCTATTTTATTACCAGCTCATCTCAGTGTCCTTTAGCAGAGCCGTCTTTATCCACATCTAACATGCGTGTAAGATGCTTCTCATCGCAACGTTCAGACAACAAGTGATTTCTGTCAAGGAGCCGAGAGCTGGAGCCCAAAATGGAGCCAGGAGCCCAGGTCCATGCGGGGGCAGGAGGCTTCATGCTCCGGATCGCTCTGTGGGGACAGAGCTCGCTTATCGAGTGCCTTCTCCTGCAAACGGCCATGTTAACACAGACCCCGCTCAGACATTAATCCGCCTTCAACAAGAAAGGTCACCATTGAAAGATAAACTCTCTTTAGATGAACTCTTGAGAAATTTCTGAGTCAGGATTCGTTATGACATTTGCCTTAGCAAACGGCGTATTACGCTAACGAGGATCCAAAC